GGAGAACTCCTAAGCTCTTCTTGAAAATTGTGTTGTGAGTCCTTATGTCCACTAGAGGAAACCAACAGCATCTTCACTTAAAGCTGTAAGATAGCACCTCCAACAGTGCTGCATTGTCACATCAAAAGCACTTGAAGCAGACTCGATGAAGAAATAGAGAAAATAGGCCATTCAGCCCTTCTGGCCTGCTCCACCATCCAAATGATCATGGCTGATCATTCCAACTCAGTACCCTGTTTCTGCTTTCTCCCCATATGCTTTGATCCCTTTAGCCCTAAGAAATATATCTATCTGCTTCTTGGACATATTCAATGTTTTGGCCTCAACTGCTTTCAGTTTCAGAGATCCACAGGCTCACAACTCTGGGTGAAGACATTCCTCCTGGTAGTGGTTTTGTGTTTATCAAATAGGACTTGACTTTCAATTTATTGCCTTTGAGGTTTGAATGCTGCTTCTGGGCTGTGATTAACCCCTACATCAGCACTTCACAGATTCTTTCCCCACTGTGACCCCACTCTGAGGCTTGGAAAGTGCTGCAAACCTTCCCTGAGAACAATCGAAAAGTCAGATGAGGGTTGGGAAGACTTATAACTGCAGAGCTAGGGGACAGATAATCTCTGGGTTGGGGGGGGGGGGGGAAGGGGGGAGAAAAGAGGAACCGGAAGTGGAAAAACAGAATGGAAAGGGGAGGGGGTAGACATAATGTTCCAAATGCCCCTTTGGGAAACCCTGCTCTATACCTTGCTTTGATATCAAAGAAAATACAAACTGTTTGCCTTTAGATCCTTAGTCTAAAAATACATACTTTAATATACAAATAAAATATGGAAACTGGAAGCAAAAAATACATTCATGTCTGGACAGACTGCATTTAAACAAAACAGAATACTTGGCGCTTACAAGAAAGAAATTATACAGTATAATAATCTTTCCTAAAGACAGACAAAATTACTAGGATTTCCAGTGAAAACAAAGGACTGTACGTATGCGGACTGATGTTGTGCCAAAATTGCTTCTCTTAAAGGGAAGGTGTTTCTTTTTTCCCTTCTGGAACTGAAAGCTCAATGACACTTCATACGATACATTGCTGAAGGCAGAGTATGTTCAACATGTAACATTCTGTATACACAACACAGGTTCTAGGTAGAATGGAGATGACGTGAAATATCCCTCCTCAATGACATCTTCTGTACCTAATGGGATCAATTTCATATCTTTAATTTGTATCATGCATATATTCTCCACTCACCACATTTGCTGGGAACCTTCACTTTACTTGAAACTGGTGAAGTTACAGGAATTTGGGCATGGGCTGTTTGCTGCAGTGCTAGAGACTTTTTCTTAAAAACAATAGACTCTGTAGTCTGTTTGATGTGGTGTGCTGGGCAAACTGTTTGCTGAGTGTGCACTATGCTGAAAAATGTACTCTATCCTGTGAGTCCTGCCTTGCTTCTAACTCTCAAGTGACATTCTGACTGTGTAATATTGTGGCTAGTTAAGTTCATACGAACTGTTGCCCTTGTTCTGTGCATTCTGGTTTTTACCCCCTGCTCTTGGCTACTGAGTCAACCCAGTAGCTTCGTTAAACCACAGTCCATCAAGACCTGCACTTTTCAAGAGGACTCCAACTTAATGTGGTACAGGCAATACAATACAGGCATTTTCTTTCTGCAAAGCTTCTGGAATGCTTAGAGAAATATATCTTGAATTTATATCATGCTTATTCCAGAGATCTTCACAAGCAATGATCATTGTTTTTGAACCAGTCACTGTTGTAATACATCAATGACAGCAATTTATTTATTTATTTTTAAAACATAACAAGATTCCACAGACAGCCATGTGTTAAATGTTTAGATAAACTATGCTTCCATGATGTTGATTAGGGAGTAATTATTGACCAGCACATGGAGGACAGGAACTCTCCTGCTCTTCAAGTCGTGCCTGTGAGATCATCTCCATCCACTCGGGAGGACAGACATTGTTTAAAGAGCTCACCGGCCGATGGCACTTGCTTTCTCAACACTGCACTGGGACATCAGCCTGGATCATGTGTTTGAGTCTCTGGAACGGACCCGAACTTATAACATTTGCCTCAAAGAACTTCCACTGAGTCATTACTGATTGCATAGCAGGTTGAAGCTATCAATGGTTTTTGGAGAGTTGTGGGGAGGTGGGTCTATGTACAGGAGAGTGGAACAAGGAAAGAAAAAAAAAACAATAGATACAAAACAGTTCTTGTGACAGTTAATTCAGGGTATGGTGCAGTTTCCCTGTTTCCTTAAGCATGTGGATTATTTGGCTGCAAATCTAAAGGCAGTTGATGATCTCATGGTTTAGCTGAAAGTATTAAAGGTGTGACCACCAATCTTTGTGGAGTTAACCAGGTACTGCTGAATTACAAGTTGCAACACCAGCATGTCTGGATCACAGATTCAGGTTTCTCTCTCTTTCCCACATACACACACACCATGTACAAAGCCATATACACAAATAGACAGGATCAGGCTCAGCCAATTCCCCCTCAAACAAACAAATAATGGATGCTGCCAAGGGTAGCTCCTTCATGTGTCACTTCAGTAACTAGGGGTAAGACAACAATAAAGATTCTGCAAGAAACAAAAGTTAAAATTGTGGCTATAAAAATGTAATGGAACAAAGAGGTCAGCAACCTTGTCTTCCCTTTGATCTTAACCATCATGATTCCTACATGTCCAGAAACTGGATTTCTCAATGAAAAGCAGGGACATTAACTACTGTGCCTCATTCCCGGATCCAATATTTTGGATGGAAGGTAATTATCAACACTCTTTGAGGGGGTAGGGGGGGTCACAGATTGGTATTCCTTCAAATGGCATTGGATATTGTGGAATAATTCTAAGGCAGTTCAAAGTAAATAAAAAGAACTTTAAAAAACTGGGAGCATTATAAATGCAGTAGCCTGAATTAACTCTTTGAGTGCCCCAAGGCGGTAAAGTGACTTTGAAGCTTCAGGCTGAGGGAGTGAACTTGCCAATAGAAATGCATTCACTGAACAACTGCAAATGCTGCAACATTGGGCCCATAATTCTGACTGGCACGGAGGTTGGGCACTACAATTTGACCCTGTGTGCCTCTCCATGAGCCAAGTATCAAGCATTGGGGGAGGGGAACAAAAGCCTCAACCACAAATGATTCAACTTTCACACAAGCCGCTCATGACGACATTGAGGGATACATACGACTGCATAGATCATGAGATGGCCCACATGACTAGTGGTAACCCAGTGCTATCGAGTGATTACTGCGAGACGAGTCACTTCCCTTCTGTTGTCTGGTTACTAACACACTAACAGGCAAGTTTGGGCAAGGAGAGAAAGGGTTATCAAGGAATAATGGAGGAAGAGGGATGAGAGAGAGAAGGTTCCCATTGAGCTACTGCAGCCGGATAGCTTTCTGAAAAGCTCCTGCACACACTTGTTTAAGGAATTCTAAGCTTTTTGCTATAGTCATGAAGTCTTTAGATTTAAGGAAGCAAGACACATCCCACCAGCCAACGACTAAAATATAAATTTGTGAGCGGTATACTGTGCCACACAGCGATGAGTTTCCACCAGTATGTCAGACACCCGCTTGTCTGACTAAAATAGGAGTTGTGTTTAACCTAAGCCTCAATAGCTAGACAATAAATAGGAAGAACACAATGGGTACCGAGATCTGTACACATTTGATTATTAATCTGTTCCAATTTTCTTGTATGGAAAACCATCACACTGATCTCACGAGTGTCCCCTCCCTTCCTGTTAACAATCCCCCATATCAGAAAACTGAAAGCATATATACATGCAATCAGATATGTCCATCCATCCCACACTGGTTTCTTAATCCTTCTTGAGCCACTTCTTTATGAGATCTGGATTGGAGAGCCAGGGACCAAGACTGCGTGGAGCTTCTGTTCACAGAACCAAATACGCACACACAGGTAGCCCAAGGAACACACTGAGCACACTCTTTCTGGCAGAGGGAGAAGAGAAACACCTTGGGGAGACAAAGTGGAAGGAGCACTGTATAGTCATGGAGATTGGCATGAGGGAGGGCAGCAGAACACTGTAGCAACAGTTATAGGCTGGGGTTTGTCAGGGTGTTGGTGATTGGGAGGTGGGGTGGAACAGTTGGGGAGAGGGGGAGAGAGGGAGAAAGGGAGAGAGGGAGAGAGAGATAGGAATCAAAAGCAAAGAGGAAGAGCGAGAAAGAGAGAGAGAAGGGAGAGAGAAACACAGAGGGGGAGGGAAGGGATAAAGAGATACTGATAGAGTTTGGAAAGCAAAGACAGTACTGACAAAAACACAATTTACACTTTTTTTTTTGCAGTGGTTCGATTTTCATGCTCAGATAGAGCCCTGTTTACCAGCAGTGAAATAACACTGACCAATGCATGAACCATTTGGCAGATATTCAGCAGTCGCGAATGGGGCAGTGGGAGTTATTGTCAGAAACCAACCTCTGTCCCATGTTTATTGTGGAGTCTGATCATCGCGTGATGAGAAGATTCAGTGCACCAAGGCTAAACTCAAAGTTGAAGGTCAAGATAACATCCTGATCTGGGATTGATCACCTGTAAATTCCAAGCTCCCCATCTCCAAAATTGTATCTAACAGCCCCAAAAGCTGACTTCCTAAATTCAACGTCCCCAGTCCCATCCATTCAGAGGAAACGGCCAACTGTGTGCTCATCATGGACCCGTGGCGTTGATTCACAGCGCAGCAAAATACTGAGGACAGTGTCACCAGGAACCCCATGGAGGAATGAAACAGCTGTTTACTCAAACAGGGCCAAATCCAGTTGGGATAATTGGGCGACCAGACCAGCACCTGTACAGACTAAACAAAACGTCTGCAAGCGCATCATTGCCACCTCAGCCAGGTGCTCAAAAGGAAACGTTATTTTATAATCTATAAACAGGAATGGGTCAGCTCATGCCCCGGCCTTGCCCTCCCCTCCCTCCCTCCCTCCCTCCCCCCTCTACCCATTGTCTTAAATGGATGATCATTGCCACTGCCTGCCTCAGACCGGTTTCGAATTCAATGCCACCAGCTTTTTTGCTTCATCCGTGGAATCGGTGGAACTGGGCAGACTCGCTTGCCGGTGGTTCTGCTTCTTCATCTTCAGCAGGTAGTAGACCACAAGGGCTAGTACCACAGCGATACAGATGGCCAGGACCACAGCAATGGCAACGCCAGCTTCAGAGACAGAGATAAGTCAGATCAGGAGGGAGGGAGAGAGAGAGAGAGAGATTCGTCACACGACGCTCTTACAATTTTTAATGCCTCTCCACTGTCACTACCTCCCTAATACCTCTCCATGCTTCATCTCTCTCCACTGTCACTCCCTTCCTAATCTATCCCACTCTCAGTGCCAGGGACCCCGGTTCAATTCCGGCCTTGGAGTTTGCACATTCTCCCAGTGTCTGCATGGGTTTCCTCTGGGTGCTCTGGTTTCCTCCCATAGTCGAAAGATGTGCAGGTCAGATAAAAAGATGATTGCCCCTGAGTGTCCAGGGACGTGCAGGCTGTCTAGGTTAGCCATGGTAAAAACCCATGCAGTATTACAGGAATGGGTGGGATGCTCATCGGAGACCCAATGGGCCAAACAGCCTTTTTATGCAATGTAGGGATTGCAGGACTCTTAATCCCTCTCCATTATTACTCTCTTCCTAATCCTTCACCCTTCTCATCGTCACTCCCTCCCTTGTCCCTCTCCATCCTTCAGCTCTCTCTCCACTGTCACTCCCTGCCAACCCTTCATCCTGCTCACCATCACTCCCTCCCTACCCTCCATACTTCCCACACTTAATCCATCCCCATTTTCGTCCTTCGCTAACTTCACTTTTAAAACCACCTTTTTACCTCCTACCCATGGAATACTCACTATTTGAAGATTTTTCCTCTTTCTGCCTTTCAAACAGGCCCCGGGAAAACACATCCTTTCCTACAAAAAAAAAGAAAGGATGAGGTGGGGGTCAGAACATCATTCCAAACAAAGTCTGATCCAGCATGAAACAAGCAGCGTGAATGATAAGATCTGAAACCTGTTCAAAATAGACACCCCTCCATACATACAGGCAGAGTTGGGATGGTTCGAAACTCCACAGCAGTTGGACGGGACGGCACATCATCCTGTTCTCTGCACGTCGAAGCAGGCAGTGCGTTCTTGCAGGGTCACCAGACCGCAGGGAGGCATAAAAACTTTTGAGTTAATCACTTTCCTGGCAATGTACTTGCAATTCAGAACAGATAGGGGTCTCGCTCGTTTTAGCTTCCAGTGCCATCAGTAAACAGCCTTTGTTTCCCAGAGAAAGTCTGTCCTTCATTGAAGAGTCACTGGTAGTAGGTTTGATGTGACTGCCCATTCAGTTCGGCTATTTCAGCAGTCAGTCAACTGTGTTTGTTTGCAGTCACATGTAGACTGGGCAGGCAAAGACAGCAAGATTTCTTCCCTAAAAGCCGTTTAATGAAGCAACTGGGTTTTGACAATAATTCAACACTTTATTCCCAAATTTCTTTTTTAAAAAAAAAATCAAATTCTTAAGTTGTTGTGGCTTTATTTGGACTTCCTGTTCCTTGGATTATTTGTACAATACGCCAATGTGATTAAACACTAATTGTGATTTTTGGATGGGGGAAATGAGCCATTCAGCCACTCCAGTCTGTTACAAATTGAGGGCTGAATGGCCTTATTCCTGTTCCCATGTTAAACTCTGCCCATTTACAAGTAACTTGTCCCACTCAAGAGCCTCAGATGAACTCAGAAAGAACAAAACTTGCAGTTATGTGGTACCTTTCTCAATTGCTGAATATCTCAAAGTACTCTGCTGCCAATGAAGTACTTTTGAAGTGTAATCTCAATTGGAATGTAGGAACAGCAATTACTTTACTTCAATTTCCCTCTGTACTGATCTGAATTTTCAGCCTGAATTGTTTGCTCAAGTTCTCTGGTATGGGTGTTGAAGCCAGGACCTTCTGATTCAGGGCCAAGAAGGCTACCCACTGAGCCACAAGGAAGACAACACTGCGGTTGAGTGATTTATCTTCTCCCTTAATTTGATACTCACAGGGCCGTGAAATTGGACTGCCTACATAGCAGTAGGCATTGGATTTACTCTGTCCAGGCTTATGAACATAGGAAATAAGGACAGAAGTAGGCCATTTGGCTCTGAGCCTGCTCTTCGATTTAATAATTGGCTGATCGGTTTGTGTCTCCAATTTCATCTACCTGCCCGTAATCCTTAATTATATTGTGTAGCAAGAATCTATCCGCCCTAAAAATATTTAATGACTCCGCCTGCAATTCCTTCCAAAGTTCTCACAGCCTCAGAAAGAAAGAAAATTCTCTGTCCTGATAGGGTGATCTCTAATTTTAAAACTGTGCCCACTAGCTCTGGACTCACTCACCAGAAGAAATAGCCTTTCCATGTTCGCCTCGTTAAGACCACCCAGGATCTTATACACTTTAATGTAGTTACCTTTTACTCTTCTAAAGTCCAGACGAAGAAGCAGCCCAGTTCATCGACTCATTTGAAAAAACCTCAGGCCCCCATATTCCTAAATCAGTCACTCCCATCGATCATACAATAGTTCCAAGTTGAACAGTGTAGAACTTTAAAAATTATTGTCCTTGTTTCCAAGTGTCTAGTTTTCACCCTGCACCCCCTTCTGTAATCTCCATGAGCATTTCCACATCTCTATGCTCTGAAGTTGTCTCCTTATAATGCTCCAACTCTGTTTAAGTCGCTCCTTAAACCCTATGTCTTTGCCCAAATTTTTTTGATTTCTTGTCCTAACATCTCCCAGTGGGTTTCAGCATCTTGATTTTGTTTGATCATGGCATTGTAAAGCACCTTTTTGTCGCAGTCAAGCTGCTACTCACACGCACATAGTTGTTGTTGTAGACTATAGGTCTCATTGAAAATGCAAACATCATTTGCTTCAAGTCAGTGCAAGCAAGAGTCCACCCACCTCACTCCCTCCTAAGGGCCAGGGTGGGGGGAGCGGGGCAGGGTGCAAACTGCCCAGAATGTGTCTTCTGAAACAGTCAAACATCTTTTGGAGATGCCACAGTCACGCAAATGTATTGAAATGAGGCTCAAGGCCCAATTTCAGGCCAGCATCAGGCCTTGAGGCTGGAGGGTATGCGATGACAGATCAGAGAGGAGGCTCCGATTTTAACTCTGCAGCATTGATTTTGTCTGATTGCAGTGATATTGCTCCATTGGGATTCTATTCTGTGGGAAGGCTTTTGCTCCACTGGGATCCAGGACGATGGTGGGGGAATAGAGATTTCTCACTGGCGCCCAGGGCAATGGTGTGGAGGCTGCACATGGTCCTACCTGTCACTCCCCTGCAGGCAGCCACACATTCCTCCACCGTTTCAAAGCGGTTCTCGTTGCCGTCACAGCCTCCGTATGTGAAGCGCTCGCAGGAGCTGGTATATGGGTTGTAGTAAAAACGGCTGAAGTCGGCCCGGCAGCGGCCAGTGATGGGTGGGTACACACAGCGAGCTGGGAGCGAGAGACAGGGACAACGTGAGTTAACTCTCCAAAAGGCAACCACCGCAACCTGCTCATTGTTCAGAGAAACTTTGATGCAAACTTAGAGAGGAGATAGAGAGCAGAGAGCAGGAGGAGGGGTCCGCGGGCAAGAAAGTGGAAGAGAAGTACAGCACGGAGTATTTGGGCCAAAGGGCCCATTACCGTGTTGTGAATCCCACCTAATCTTATGCATCATCCCACTTACAGAAATGTGTCTCTCCCTCTCACTTTCTCCCAGAGTCTGCCCTTCCAAATATATTTCAATCAGTTTTCAACTGGATATGGTTCTACAATTCCTCTGTTCAACAATGACATTTCAGCAAAACTGCGGTTATATCATTAATCTGCATGTTCTTAGTGGGCCACCCCATCAACAGCAAAGGCCTGAGTTTTACCAGCTCTCTGGGGATGAGCTGGGTGCTAGGAATGGGACCTCCAAAATGGGGAGGGAAGTTGGGGTTTAGAGCATCAGTTGCCTTCGGTTTGGGGAAGGTTGAGGAAGACACACCCACGCAAAGGCCCATTGTGTTTCTTAAGCAAACAACTAAGGCTCTCTTTCTGCATGGGAAGCTATTCTCCACCTGAATGTAAACACTGGTGGGGTCTCCCCTTTGGCTCAAAGCTTAGGTACTCCTTCATCTGGTGGAACATGCCTGCCCTCACCTCTCTGAAACCCCCATTCTCCTTGTTGGAGCCCCAGAAAACCCATGGTTGATAGCCAGATGTCCTCATCTTCCAAGTGCAGTTCCAGTGGGGACCACCTCTGCTGGTGGCACTGCTGAGCTGCCAGATGCTTGGCTGACAGCTCCCTGGTGGGGAATCAGGTGACCATCTTTTAAAAGGGATAGATCAGAAAATGCCAGTGGTGGGGACAGCCCCTGGCTTTCCCAAGTCAAGGTGCTAGACACACGCACATAATTGTTGTTGTAGACAATAGGTCTCACTGAAAATGCAAACATTATTTGCTTCAAGTCAATGCAAGCAAGAGTCCCCCCAGCTCGCTCCCTCCTAAGAGCCCAACAAATCATCATAACACTCGCCATGACAATTAAACAGCACGGGGAATCTAGTATGTACTGCACATCTAGTATTGAAAAGTTTACCTTTCTCCTTGGGGATGTCTATGTCCAGCAGTTTGTTGAATCGTTCCCTTACTGCAAAACAAATGCCAAAAGGTGAATTTGTTACAATAAACTCACTTCAACCTCTTCCTGTAGCGCTATACATGAACAGACAGCCAGGACAGAACAGAAGAAAAGCTCCTCAGGATAATGCAAGGCTGCGCTCAGTTACAACAGATAAACTGAGGCAGCAGGTTGAGACAGAACAAATGAATAAAGATACTGGGTCTTCACTTCCTGGACTGAGCACAAATCTGATCCAGAAGGGCAAATAAAAATGGAAAGGGCAGGAAGGTTTCAGGCTCAAATCCTAAGGTGAATCAACAGAAGTATCCAACTGGCTTGGAAAGAGGGCGAGGTGATGAATAAAGGACAAGAATCATCCAGACATTCTCTTGTTAATTGCAAGCTGGTGACAAACTGTGGAAGTGTGTCTGTAGTTGTTTCCTGCCTATACCTAACACAATTTGCCCATTGTGGCCCCGGTGGACAAACTGATACCTGATAGAATAGGAATGGGAGATGAAACACTGGCAGTCAAGGTCCTGTGAAGCCTCAGGGTTCACCGTCTTTCTGTGCACCAACTGCTTGCAGACCAGCCTGTGTTTGATGGATTGTCAGTGCTGTCAGATGCAAACCAGTACTGGCTCCATCTGGTGGCCGCACACCACTTTCCTCAGTAAAAAGGCACAAACCCTGAATGTGCCAGTCGACAAAGTGTTAGCCAAGTGCACATACACAGCTATTCTTGGCCCCTGGAGTTCCAATGATATTCGAAGCTGTGATGATACCAACCACAAACTCTGTGGGACCTCATTCCATCTCCACCCTGCCCTCGTGGTCATAACTCGTGTAACGGTGCTTCATGTTTCCAACCCTTCAATCAGATTACTATCACTTTCAAGCAACCTTGAAATGAAGTTGAGGGGTCCTCTAGACTGTGGGAAAGCCTATGTCATAGGTTGCCAGGTGCAGTCCCGGTGGTGACCACCTCTCCAGGTGGCACTGCTGAGCTGCCAGATCTGGCGCTTGGCCGACAGCTGTCAGGTGACCATTTTTAAACAGGGGTATACCAGAAAATGCTAGTTTTCTCGAAAGGTGGGACGAGGTTCAGACAGCATTTTTCCAATTGGAACCCAGGCTGCCCATTGTTAATCTGGTGCTTGTTATAGAGAAATTCCTCAAGCTTACTCTCGACAATCGAGTCTATTCATTTTGATGAAGACAAGAAGTGAAACTATTGGATCTGATGATGGCTGTATCTGTATTAACAATGTTTTGGAATACAGACACTTTAGCCTGTTGTCAATTCACTAGTCCCTTTGCCAGTGTCCACCAACACTATACCAATGGTCATTAATTAATCTCCTCTATGGCCTTTCCTTGGACCCAAGAGATGTGCATCTGCCATCATTGGGAACGTGTTTTTGAGCCTATTTAGCACATCTAGCTCTGCTATCTCATTCTTAAAGGTAGTGATTACACTCAGAATGTTTCTGTTTGGAGAAAATGGGCAGCTCAAGTCTTTGCTTTACAAATACTGGTCACACACAGTGTTCTCCCTTGTTTTGAAAGGCCATGCGCATCATGTCTGACTGTTCTCTTGCCTGTTGTGAGGCTGGAAGGCTTTTCTTTTGACCGTAATGCTTTTTCCTATGGCCTCACTTCAGCATTCCTATCTCATTCAAACATGTTTTCATCTCTTATCTCTGAAAGGGCTTTATTTTCCTTTTCATGCAAGCAGTTCAAGACATGTGCACACGTTGGAAACAGGAGTGGAAGCAGAATCCAAATGATAGCTGTCGAAAATGTTAGCCGATTAAAGAGGGTGAGGGCAGGGAGATGGGAATAAGTGGGCAGATCACTCAAAAAGCAGGCACAGGCACAATAGGTTCTATAGTCTCCTGTCTACAGTTCAAGGATTATGGAGAAAGAGCGAGAAAAATAGCAAGCAAAAAAAGGGCTGGCACCGACGTGATGGGCTATATCTACCGGTGACATGGATGCTCCAACCTGACCTAGAATGGAGCAGGATCATCCAAAGATTGACTACTGTCTGAAGGTTGTACTCACTGTGTTTGCAGCTGGCCTCATCTGATTTATCTTTGCAATGTGGAGTTTCATCACACTCTAGGTTGCTATCAATGCAGCAGTCATCATTGCACTTGAACTGGTTCTCATGGCAGTTCCCTGTGCATTCTGTGGAGGAATGAAAGGGCAAGAGTGAGCCAGGCAGTGTAACAGTGAGAGTCAAAAGTTCAATCACTCCTCAGTCATTGAACATCATCACTGAGGGTATAAACACATCGAAGCTGTGTCCATTTGGATGCTTCGTATCCAACGGAAAAAGCCAACATTGCTTTTTCTCCTCTCCTGCCTTACTGAACTATCCTGGTTTAACCACAATGTGCTATTAGTCCTACATTTACCCATTATTGGCTTTAATTTATACCATTTTGTTATCGTCATGCAATTTAATTTGAAGCACCTTTTCAGGAATCTCCTGTCCAGTCTTTCATTAAAATTCAGACCTCAGAGACAAGGGATCAGCTGGAGATTTCTTTCCCCAAATGGTCTCCAGTTGTTCAGCTAGTGCTTTGCACCTTAGTGTGCAGAAACACTGGAGATGTGGTTTGATCAGAGCACTTCTTGCCATGACATCCTCTGATTTACACTTGCTGACAGTTCAGCTTAGCTGACTATGCAATGCAAGTAGAATAGACATGACAGGAGAAAAACAGGCCATTCAGCCTGGTGGGTCTGTACCAGCATTTCTGCTCCATTCAAGCCTCTTCTCATCCCTTTTCATCTCACTCCCGTCCTTCCACACATACCCTTCAGTTCTTTCTCCTTAAAACTATCACAACTATTCCTGATGGCAGTGAGTTCCACATTTTTACCATTCCCTGGGTAGGGAGGTTTCTGCTAAACTTATCATTGTCTTCAGGAGTGAGCACAATTCTTGGCTTGTTCCGTCCCACAAAGTGAGAACATCTTCTCCACGTCTGCCTCATCAACTCACTAATTAAAGACCTTGATTTGGTCACCTCTCAGTCCTCTGTCTTCCAAAGAGTGAGCACCTGATTGTTCATTCATCTCCATCTGACATAACCTCTCAGTTCTGGGATCAAACCTTGTCTATTTTTATTTTTATTTTTACAACTTCTGTAGTGTCTTTACATTACTCTCATTACATCTGAAATTGGGCACTCTGGTGTTCCAGTTGTGATCTAACTAAGAATTTGATATTCTCTTCTGCTTTATGTAGAAATCCCTTCAGAGACAAATCTTATAAAATTGTACCTGAGCCATTTGTTACTTTGATCAGATATTTTGAGGGTCAGCTTGACAGAGATTCTTTTAACTTCATTCTCCATTGTACAATATGGTCAATAGCTCTCCTTTCCAAGGTGTGGTATTTCTTAACAGGAGCACTCCACTCTGTACTCACCTCATTCTTATAGAATCATAGAATCCCTACAATGTGGAAGCAGGCTATTTGGCCCATCAAGTCCACACTAACCCTTGAAGTGCATCCCACCCAGACCCACCGCCACCCCACCACCATCCCTGTAGCCGTTGCCTAATCTACCTAGCCTGCACATCCCTGTATACTACGGGTAATACAGTACAGGCAGCCAATCAACCTGACCTGCACATCTTTGGACTGTGGGAGGAAGCCGGAGCACCCGGAGGAAACCCACGCAGACACAGGGAGAATGCGCAAACTCCACACAGACAGTCGTCCGAGGGTGGGAGCGAACCCGGGTCCCTGGTGCTGTGAGGCAGCAGTGCTAACCACTGAGCCACCATGCCATTCCCTGACTCTGACCCGACTCCTCTCATGAGGGACTGTTTCCCACTCTACAGCTAAGGCCTCACTACTTCATCTGAATCGCTTTTCCCACATATCCCTCGCTAATAGATTTTTGGGACATCATTGCCTCGTGGATCATCGGGAAAGATGGTTAGTCAGGAACCTTGCCTCCTGATTCTACACTGATTATAGTCTACCGTATTATGACAATGCAAATCATCCTCCTGCTAAACAGTTCCACTATTTTGCATGGAATGGAAACAAAATAAATAATCGACATTGTAGATTCACATTTATAAGCTGAATCTCAGCTCCAATTGATATCCGTAGTCTCCAGAAGAACAATCATCAGTTCCCCAGGCTCCAATTTGTCCAACTGCAGCAAAAGCACACTACAATTTAAGCAATCCCAACTAAAACCATTTTTTTTTGATGCTGAGTCACAGAATGAGCTATTGGGGTCTGAAGGAACATTATAAAAGGAAGAGGATAATCTTTGTGACAACTGCTTGGAATTTGAATTGATGAAATTATGCCCTGTTACCAGTCACAGTGGGGGTTCCTAGGAGAGAGACTGGCTAATGAAGGATGTTCCATACTTAGAAAGAAATAAAAGCAGCATTTTAAAAGCGTTACCTGTGACTTTGGAATTATTGCTTTATAAAAGCCTTCTCTGTCACTCAGTGTTGTACCTGATGGAGCATTGAACAGTCAGAGACTTAGTCTTTCATTAACCTGACGCTTGGTCTATCTTGGATAAAATCTACCTGGTAGATCTCATAGAAGGGCTGGAGAGTTCTCCCCCCAGTCTTGGGCAATATTTCTCCTAGCTGGTCTTTTGCCTCAGCTCTGCTTTGGGAAAATTGTTGTTGCAAATTTCTTACTCTACAACAATGCTGACACTTGTTTGCCTTTGAAGGACTTTGCGACTTCCTGAAGAAGTGAAAAGAATTACAAAAGTGCAAGTTCTTTTCTTAGTGTGAGCAATTGGGAAGAGGTCATATACATGGAAGTGGAACTCACGTGGCAAGCCTGATCTGCCTGAAGACTTTTTGTCTGCTGGAAGAAAGAACAATGAACAGTTAGTACCTTTATGATGATCCCAGCTGATTCATAGAATCCCTACAGTGTGGAAACAGGCCCTTCAGCCCAACAAGTCCACACCGCCCATCACAGCATCCCACACAGATCCATCCCCCTATAACCCGCCCAATCTACGCATCCCTCTACACTATGGCAATTTAGCATGGCCAATCCACCTATTCTGCACATCTTTGGACCATGGGAGGAAAACGGAGCACCCGGAGGAAACCCACACAGACACGGGGAGAATGTGCAAACTCCACACAGACAGTTGCCAGAGGGTGGATTCGAACCTGGATCCCTGGTGCTGTGAGGCAGCAGTGCTAACCACTGAGCCACCGTGCTATTGGAGAAGTCTGATCCCACCCCGAAAATCAGCTTTGATATGTCATATTTTCTCCATTTTATTCAGCATGGCGGTCTTTCAATCAAATAAACACAAAGTTACAGATTTACCTTTAGCAATAAAACTAATGTCTACCCAAGCGAAAGAAAAGGAAGATAAAACAAACCAAGATACTTACATAGAACATGATTTGGAAGATTTCAAAATGAACGGCTAAGCATAGTTGTATCTATTCCAACACAAACACTTTACGATACTCCCAAAGCACGGGCACAAAAAGTGGCTTGGCAGCAAAGCTACTGATCCAGCTGGTCAGGTCCTAAAAGATATAGCTGCTAGACTGGGTCTGCGGCAGGTGGCGAGGGAACCAAAGAGAGAAAGATATTGATCTTGTTGTTACCAATCCAGGGCAGTATTGGTAAGAGTGACCACCACACAGTCCTTGTGGAGACAAAGTCCCGCCTTCACATTAAGAATATCTGCCATTGTGTTGTGTGGCACTATTACCGTGCTAAACGGGACAGACTTCAAACAGATCCAGCAACTCAGGACTGAGCGTCCATGAGGCGCTGTGGGCCATCAACAGCAGCAGAATTGTACTCCAGCACAATCTGCCACCTCACAGCCCGGTATATCCCCCACTCAACCATGACAATCAAGCCAGGGGATCAACACTGGTTCAATAGAGAGTGTAGGAGGGTATGCCAGGAGCAGCACTAGGCATAGATAAAAATGAGGTGTCAATCAGGAGCATCTACAAAACAGGACTACTTACACGCCAAACAGCATAAGCAGCAAGTGACAGACAGAGCTAAGTGATCCCACAACCAATGGGTCAGATCTAAGTGCTGCAGTACTGCCACATCCAGTCGTGAATGGTGGTGGACAATTGAATAACTCACTGGAGGAGGTGGTTCCACAAATATCCCCATCCTCAATGATGGAAGGGCCCAGGATATCAGCGCAAAAAATAAGGCTGAAGCTTTCGCAACGATCTTCAGCTAGAAGTTGTGTCAGCCAAGGTACTCATAGACGTGTTGAGTGGAACATCCATGTCAGCCTCGTCCTGTAGTCTCCAGCATTACAGATACCAGCCTTCAGCCAATTTGATGTATTCCATGTGCTATCAAGAAATGGTTGGAGGCACTGGATAATGTAAACATTATGGGTCCTCACAACATTCCAGAAATAGTACTGAAGACCCAGGCTCCTACTGAAGGCCTCAGTATTGTGCCTGTCTGTCTGCCTCTGTCTGTATGGGCGGTGGCGGTGGTGGGCGGGGGTGGGTGTTGGGGTAAGAGAGGTGTGGGGTAGAATCTCTGGTTAGACACATTCTTGGCGTATTCCAATCAAGTGAGCTGGCTATATTATCTAGAGGCAGCCTTAACGGGCATCAGGAAATATTGCACCAGCTCCAGAACAAGGTTTGCCTGGTACACATTCTGAACCTAACACACGAGATGTCTCAGGCCAGTACTGACAATGCTGACTTGGTGCAGGTCCAATGCATAATCTATTCTGAAGGAGAGTCATTCCAGACTCCAAACCATTAACTCTGTGGGACATCATAGCTACCACCTCACCCTGCTCATCAATGCAGCCTTCCACATCTAGCCTTCCACATCTATCATACCTTGAAATCACTCTCCCCAGCTGAGGTGAAGCAGCATGGGCTGGTCGATGTCTCCCACTTGGGGACCAAGCTCATGCCAACTGGCTAAACTGGCATGGGCCTGTAACAAAGTGTGGGGCCAGGCTGGTATGCATGGCGAGTTGGATGGGATGTTGAAAGGGGTGCAGCCTACGTAAAATTGTATTCCCAATTTAGCTGTCAGGACTCGTGCAGGATTCTGGGTGCTCAGGTGTCGCTTCACTCAACCTTTGCCAACTTTGCCCACTGACCTTTGACACCGCTGCACGCCTGCTTGCATTCTGTCTCGCCCACAAAGTTGTTCTTGTTGCCCTTGCAGCCACCGTAGGTGAAGGGCTCGCAGCTCCCCTTGTTGGCTTCGTAGTGCCAGCGAGGAAAGGACCCTCGGCAAGGCCCCACCTTCTTGTCTGCTTTACAGTATTCTAGAAGAAAGGGGGGAAACAGCAGAGGTCAATACTGATGGATGAATCACCATTGGGGGGGGGGGGGGAAGGGAGGTGGGAGGTGGTATTACAAAGAAACTGCATTGTAGAAACAGGCCATTCAGTCCATTTAATTAACACCAGCCTCGACAATCCCAACAGCCTCATCCCTCCCACCGGGATATTGGGCAGGGTACAATATAGCGAAGAATTTTTTTTTAAAAAATGTGTAACAATTGGTAACAACCTGGAACCCACTGCCCAAGTAAAAATAATCATTGATTTCCAAAAGGAATCAGATGGGCGCTCAAAAGACATTGACTTGCAGGGCTCTGGGAACAAGCGATGGCAATGGGATTCACCGATTGTTCGGCAAGGAGCTGGCATGGATTTAATGGGCCAAATGACCTCCTTACATGCTGTAAATAACTTTGCATTTTCCTACTTTATTTTACCCCATTCACATATCGTCTAGTCCTTTCTCCCTTGTGTTTTTTTTGCTCTCTTCAAGTAACTTGTGGGGTGCGTGCTCCACATTCACACCTCTCTCTGACCAAATATGTTTGCTTTGAATTCATCATTAGATTTATTGACTGTCTTAGGATTATGTAGAACCTGACAGAAACAGATCAACCAATCGATATTTATGCTTCACTGGGGCCTCCCTCTCCTTGTCTGAATCTAGCATTAGAACAACGTATTCCCTTTCTCCCTGACATCCTGGTCTCATTTCCCTAAATGCATCGATGTTATTCCCTTCAATCTCTGCCTGTGGTAGACAGTTCCACATTCTCACGACTCTCTGGGTGAAATGGTTTTCTCCCAGTTCCCTATCAGTGACTGTTTTATATTGACAACCGCCAGTTTTGCTATTTGCCCACAAGAAGCATTCTCCCACGCTATCAAAACCTTTCTTAATTTTAAAAAATGCTGATCAGGTCATCTTGTAGCCTTCAGTTTCAAGAAAAGAACAGCCAGCCTGTCAATTCTTTTCTGATATTTATACTCAAACATTTCTCTTGTAACTTATCTGTGTATCGTCTCTATTAGTTCTGCGTCCTTTCTAAAAAATGGTGAGCAGGGACTACATGAAGAGTTCTTACATGAGGTCTAATCAATGTTAGATGCAGGTTTAACATAATTTTCCTTCTTTTCAATTCAGTTGTTGAAAAAAATAAAACCAAATGCTCTATAAAAACCGAAAGAACTGTGGATGCTGTAAATCAGGAACAAAAACAAAGTTGCTGGGAGGAAGTTCTGAGGAAGGGTCACCTGACCCAAAACGTTAACTCTGTTTTTTCCTTCAAAGATGCTGCCAGACCTGCTGGGCTTTCCCAGCAACTTTGTTTTTAAACCCAATGCTTTGTTTCTTTTAATTCTAAAGTCTTGCTACCTGCAATGCAGCCTTTAGTGACTGGCATATTGGTATTCTTACATTTATGAGTCCAGGTTTTGACCTGCGACTGCAATATGGAAATAGAATCACTCTGCCTTTCATTTTGAGCACCTATTTTAAACATCTCTATCAGGTTGCCTCTCAACTTCTTTTAGAGAAAACAACCCCAGCCTGTTCATTCCTTCCCGAAACATCTAACCACTTCCTTTTCGTATCATTCTTTTGAATCACAATTTGCATATCAACACTATCTTTTCATAGTCAGAGTCCAGATCTTTGCCCTGTAATCCTAGCACGATCTAAACGTCGCTCTGTACATGGTTCAAATATAAATTCTTCGCTTTTCCATTGTGAGCAGGATCAGTGGGCAGGAGTGAATAAATTCCATTTTGACGCGCACGCACTCACCCTCTGATTGTTCAGGAGAGAGGACGGTGATGGACATATCGTCAGTGGTCTTCTGGCCAGCAGTGTCTGTGACAGTCAGTTGAAAGACATACTGTCCCACCTTCAAGTTAGACACCAGCTGCTCATCCTGATGTTCAGTTTTCTGAGGAGAGAGAACAGAGCAAACTTTCACGCATCCTTCCAGACTCCAAGAACTTTGCCTTCAGCAGCAACGTCAGTGATGCCCAGTTTTTGGAAAGTGAGTCAGGCGTTAGCTGCTGCTGCTAAAGCAGTGGTTACCATGGACACTTCATCTCGAAAAGGACAATCTCCCTCCCTGTGATCAGGAACAAGAGTAGGCTACACTGTTCCACAGACACCCCTTCCCACCACTCTTGGCTTTTCCCCGTTCAATAAAAATCTTCGGATTACTCCACATTCTCTACCTCAGCCCAAAGAAAAAACCCTTTCACCCCTTGCCGAGCGAAAATCTATATTCCACTGCTTTAAAAATATCCACAGATTCTGCTTCCACCAAACTTTGAGGAAGAGAGTTCCGAAGATGTTTTAAGGTGAGGGGGGAAAGATTTAAAAGGAACCTAAGGGGCAACTTTTTCATGCAGAGGGTGGTACATCTATGGAATGAGCCGCCAGAGGAAGTGGCGAAGGCTGGTACAATTATAACATTTAAAAGATTAAAACAAATTAAAAAATTAAAACAATGTTTCTTGGACGCGTATATGAGTAGGAAGGGTTTAGAGGGGTGTGGGCCAAATGCTGGCAATTGGGACTAGATTTATTTAGGATATTTGGTCGGCGCGGAAATGTTGGACCGAAGGGTCTGTTTCCATGCTATATATTTTTATGGCTCCAAAAGCTTTCTCCTCATCTCTGTCCTAAATGTTTGGCTCTTATTTTTAAACAGTGGTCCCTAGTTCTAGCCCCTTCCACAAGAAGAACCAAACATTCTTTCAGAGGATCATGAGTCTTTGGAACTCTGCTTTTCAAGAAGAGAGTCCTTCAATATTTTAAAAGCAGAAGTACATAGATTCTTACTGAGCAAGTGGTGAGAAGTTATCAGCAGTTTATTTTTCCATTCATTCATGGGATGTGGGCATTGCTGGTTCGGCCAGCATTATAATCGCCCATCCCTAATTGCTCAGAGGGCAGTTTAAGAGTTAACTCCATTACTGTGGGTCTGGAGTCACAAGTAGGCCAGACCAGGTAAGGATGGCACTTTCCTTCCCTAAAGGACATTAGTGAACCAGATGGGCTTTTTCAACAATTGCTTCATGGGCATCATAAGGCTCTCAATTTTAGATATTTTATTGAATTCAAATTCCACCATTTGCTATGGCGGGATTTGAACCAGAGTCCTCAGGACATTACCTGGGTCTCTCTGGATTAATAGTCAAGTGATAATACCACTGGGCCAACTTCCCCGAGTTGGTAGGAATGCAGATTTATGGCTACAATCAGATCAGCCATGATCTTATTTAATGACAGAGCAGACTCAAGGGGCTGAATGGCCTACCCCTGCTAATAATTCACAGATTGAAATCGAATATAAAGCTGTTCTTGGTAATAGCTATAGGGTTTAACCTGAACGCTATCTTGCTCATTCATGTCCTTCAGGGTTGAAAATCTGCCATCATTACCCAATTTGGCCTACATATGGCTCAGAACACAGTAATATGTTGGACTCATAACTGCCCTCTGTGGGGCACTGTGTTACACAGCAAGTAGGGATGGGTCACTGATGCTGGCCTTGGCAGAATCACCTACAATCTTTGTTTGTTTTAAACTGAGCTCTTGCTTTTAACGGAGCTCTGTCCTACACTGGCCATCAGTCAAGATAGCAGGCTCAAGGCTCCCAAGCAGAAATCCACAATCTCCCGACACAGACAAGAGTGGTAGACACTGATCCATGGCCACTCTACGTCAGCAACGTCAGAAAGCATCAAGTGTAGCTGACAGATCATCGACGGCACAAACTTTCGTTAGTTACCCACTTAAAACATCTACGAAGCAATTCCTAAGAAGACACTGGCCCTTTAAATATTAGAAAGCCAACACTAGGAAAGAGATATCATTTGGGGCCCTGGTCATTAACTGCGAGTATTTATCTAGTTTTTGGTTTGACACCAAATCTGTCTGCTTAAGGTTTCCATTCAAGATATAATTGATGCTGTTTATGGTTTGCCCTATGTTGAGTCTACACAGTAAATACCACAGACAGTCAGGCTCTGTTGAGTCACATGTCTTGAAGATTATTGATACCACACAAAAAAAAATGCTGGGCTGTCTGTTTTCTGTGCTTAATGACATTATTGTCCACTTCACCCCCATAACAGAGTGACTGCACTGAATGCTTGACACAGCAAGTGACTGAAGGGGAGGATGTTCTGGTATAGAGGTAACCCTCATGTGATATAATGTCAGGCAGCTGGTTTAAAGGTACAGGCTCATGTGTGGTGTGGAATATGGCAATGATACAAGACCCAGTGGGCCCAATAATTATGGTTATGTACAAAGGTCTGTGTGTGTCTGTGTGTGTCTGTGTGTGTCTGTGTGTGTCTGTAATACCCAAAACAGCAGGTGTCAGGCGATCCATGATATTATTTTCCATTTCACAGCCATCAGTTGGCAGAACATACAGTACGAAGCTCTTGGGGATAGTCCCCGAAATCATGAGGGAGGAGGTTCAGATTTGGCAGAAGAGACGACGTTAGCCTTATCAAGTCGGCAGAGGGGAAGCTCAAGGCTTCCCTAAGGTGCCAGGGAGTATAGATAATCTCCTGCTCCACGAGGACCATAAGGAAGTATAAACTTCAGAAGCAGTCATCTTCAGTCTCCATTTTACTGTCCATATTTCTGGACTATATTTCCATATTTATGGAAAACTCAGCCAGCGCTTACTAAATGTAAGTCAGGTTCCAAATTGCACCCAAGGAACTCAATTTAATTGCCCATCTCCTCAAAATTCGATATAACAACGGATTTCAAACCATTGCCATAAAAACTAAAGCTGGCGTGTACACAGTGGGTTCAGGGTAATGCTCGCCATTTATTGATGGTTAAGCAATCGCCCTATTTCCCAACCTGTCATGGGGTACAGAGTTAACATCACTGTCAATGTGACCTGGGAGCAAAGACCCTGAATCCAATACACTGTTGGGATTTAGTCAGACACTGAGACAGCAGGCAGGACCAGCTCAGGTTAGAGCATGTTACCAGCTATTTAATCCAGCACTGGTTAGGCTGGCTGGTTCAGTTTCTCTGACACTAATAAAACACAGGTATCAAACCACAAAACTAGAGCAAAACCAAGCTCTACTCTCTCAGAAACCTCGTGACCCACCCTGTCTTCAAACAACAAAGTCCTGTTCACATCTAGACAGTCAAACCTAGGACAGGTGAGGGGAGGGGACCGAGAGAGAGAGAGAGAGAGACAGACAGAGAGAGAAAGACAGAGAGAGAGACAGAAAGAGAGAGGAAAGGAGGAGGGGAAGGGCGGAGGGGTTTGTGTGTGTGAGAGAGCGCGTGCGAGAGAGAGGGGAGGGGAATAGGAGAGAGAAGGGGGAGGGGAAGAAGGGGAGTGGGGAAATTGAGAGAGAAGAGGGGAGGGGATTGACAGATGGAAGGGGAGGGGAGGGGAGGGGAGGGTTGGGAGAGTGGGGAGGTGTTGTATGAAGAGAAGGAGGGGTGGGTGGTAAGAAAGTGTGGAGGAGAGAGGAGGTCAAGAGGATTATAGGGTGAGAGAGGGGCTTGGGGTGGGGCAACAAGATGTCACTGATGAGACTCAAACATGACGCTTTTCCACGAACTGTTTAAGCCCGGTTAGTATCATATCACATTACACTGTAATGTCACCAGGGCAACCAGGGCAGGGCAAACTCAAATACAAACAAATCACCAGGGCCAATCAAAAGAGCAGAGATAATGGAACATCTTGATAATGTGCTATGCCAACACTTCCATTCAATATAAATGAAAGCAGCCGCCATCTACACAAACAATGTAACCATAATCTAATGACCCAGCTGACTTTCTCGGTTATACTGCTGGGATTTCTCAGCACACTTCCAAGTGAAACTAGGGTGGGGCTCAATACTGGATTTTATTGCAGCCTGTAGTTCATGACCAGGGGACTTACAAAACCGTATGCAACAAATCACATTTGCATAGCACCTCTAACAGATTAATAATGTCTTTCACAGCAGCCTAAAAAAATTTGAAACCAAGCCGTAAGGAGATGGTAGGGCAGATGACCAAAAGCTTGGTGACACAGAGATAGGTTTTACGAATGTTTTAAAGGAGGACAATGAGGTACTAAGGGTTGGCGATGGTTACAGGACAACTCCAGAATTTGAGGCCCAGCTCATCGAATCCCTACAGCGTTGGAGCAGGCCATTCGGCCCATCATGTCGACACTGACCCTCCGAAGAGCATCCTACCCAGACCCATTCCACCCCCCACCCCCCAACTCTATCCCTGTAACCCTGCATTTCCCATGGCCAATCCGCCTAACCTGCACATCTTTGGATTGTTGGAGGAAATGGGAGAACCCAGAGGAAACCCACACAGACACCGGTAGAACATGCAAACTCCACACATATTTGCCCGAGGTTGGAACTGAACTCCTCTAGGATGCACCAGGATGTTGCCTGGGCTGCAGCAATTCAGCCAAGAGACACACAATATAGGCAGGAGTCACTTTTCTTACAGCCGAGCAGGCTGAGGAGGAATCTGATGGGAGGTGTACAATGCTCTGAAGGGCACAGACTGGGTAGATAGGGAGAAACACTTCCCCTTAGTAGAAGGACACAGTTTTAAAGTAAAGAAGGGGTTGGAGGCAATCTTTTCTCAGCTCGTGGGCTGAGAGCATATAAAACTCACTGCCTCAAAAGTGTTGGTATAGGCCGGAATCCACAAGACATTTATGAGCCATTTAGATAAGCAAATTAAATACCATACGATAAAAGGCTTTGGACCAAGTGCTGAAAAATGGGTGGGAAGTTAATGTATTGGAGGATTGTGACAAAATGGAGTTGTACAACTCTACAGCATGGAAACGGACCCTTTAGGCCAACTCACCCATGCTGACCAGATATCCTAAATTGACCTAGTCCCATTTGGCCCTTATTCCTTTAAGCCCTTCCTACTCATGTAACCATCCATGTGCCTTTTAAATGTTGTAATTGTACCAGCCTTCTTTGACAGCTCATTCCATACGCCTACCACCCTCTGACTGAAAAGGTTTTGTTGACCCTAATGACCCTTTTAAACCTTTCCGCTCTCACCTTAAACCAATGCCCTCTAGTTTTGGATTTCCCACCCTAGGGAAAGACCTTGGTTATTCACACTCTCCATGCCCCTAATGATTTTATAAACATCTACAAGGTCTCATGAATGAATTTTTAAAAATCATTCCAACAAAGAAATTTATTACAAATTTTCTAATATCCTGGAACTCCCTCCCCAACAGTACTGTGCGTCTAACTACAGCACATGGACTACAGCAGTTCAAGAAGGTAGCTCAACACCACCTTCCTAAGGGAAACTAAGGATGGGCAATAAATGCCAGTAAATCACTCCCATGTTCTTGAATGAATGAGAGAAAACAAAAAGACTATCATCAACTGGAAATGTTAAAAGTTTCTCTCTTTGCAGAAAGGACCTGGCTCACTGAGTACCTCCTGCAGTTTTATTGCTTATTATTGCAGTGGTCATATTGAATACAGTTATAAAAACACGTATTCCCTTTATAGAGCATGCAAAAGCAGTGGGGAAAAAAGTAGCACACTTTCACTGGGATGTTATCAGGGACCGAGAGAGTGATATTTGAGAAAATTGGAATTCTCTTCAATGCATCTGAGGAGGTAAAAGAAAACTTAACATTTTCAAGATGATGTAAAATTATGACTCAGAAAGCTCCATAGCATTTGCTCAATGATACAAAAAACACAACAGCAGAAAAATATGATGAGAACACAGACTTTTAAAAAGGTGGGGTATTGAAAATTTGGTCTCGACTAACCTGCCAAAACCTCAAAGGAAAACGTATTAATTTTTTAAATTTGTTGTCAGAAAGGTGACAAATATGCCATGACAGTAAATATGTGTTATACCTTTACAGGACATGCTCTGTACTGTGGCATGTGAGTAATGGTATAAAGCTTGCAGTCTGTAAAGTATGGAGTGAGAGCGAGAGCGAGAGAGAGCAAAGAGAGCACGAGAGAGTGCAAACGAGACAGAAAGAGAGAGAGAGAGCGCATATGCATGTGCAGTAAAAAAGGGCAGAAATTGGGGAGAGAGGCAGAGAGAAAGGCGGACAATGGAGAGGGGGAGAGGGTGGGAAAGAGAGACAGGGGGTAGAGAGAGAGAGAGGCGGAGTATGGAGAGGGGGGAAGAGAGAGAGAGAGGCAGAGAATGAGGAGAGGGAGAGAGAAACAGACAGACGGGAACGGCAGAAAGTAGAGAGAGTGGGAGGCAGAGATGGGGAGAGAATGAGAAGTGTAGACAGGGAGAGTTGGAGGGGTGGATATAGGGAGGATGAGATGCTAGACAGCCGTATATCCTGCCTGATACTCCAAGGTTCAGGACACAGGGCTGGAAGGGAACTGGCAGTGGGAAGGAGAAGATCTGGTTATCACGAAGCACGAATATACCGACAATGTTGAACTAGGGTTCCAGTGTGGAACTTTGGCCGAGTTATGTGGGGAAAGGAGGCTGTACTTTCAGGAAGGTGAACGGTGTTGGACCCAGTGTGTCCTCGTGAACCACATAACTGGGGAAGTAGAGAGTGTTTTAAACCAAATTGCGAAGGGCAAGGGTTCAAATTTTAAAAATATGTGGGACATGAAGGGTCGAGGCAACCAACAAACACAGCAGATAAATAATAACAATAATCTGTTCAGAACACTGAACAGACATGTGACATACGAATCAAGATCAGTTGAAAGATATTGTATGTTTAAAGAAAAAAAAAGACCCCTTCCTATTAGCTGAAATACAAGAAATTGCAACTTAATCTATTTATCGAAGTGTTGTTATTAGGTCTTTTAATGCATAGATACCTCTAACTTCACAGAGGGATCTCCGGCAAGGAGATTCCAATCAAAACTGACAATTCTAAAGTCATCTCTGCTCGCCAACCCACTTAATATTACTTGCTCATTCGGCTGCACAATTCGATCTCTTCCTGCATTTGCCCTTGGTAGCTTGTCACCTACAAAAGAAGGTAAAATAAAAACCATTAGGACAGGCAGGACTGGGTTTAGACAGATAGGATATCATACATCTACGTTTTTAAAAAAATCATGTATTTCCAAATACAATGTTCAACAGCAATAGTATGAGAATCATGATGATGGAGCACTTCTACTAATGACTTGGAAATAGTTACCTCCCTGCTATACAGTCCATTGGACATTCTTTGTGGATAGGACAGGCTTGAAGGGCTAAGCTAGCCCTATCTGATTGAAGCTTTTCTTTCATATTAGAAAGGGAGCTGAAATTAGTCTTTACCCATGATGGGATGCATCTCCCATTTATAATTTCTAAGCTTGTTTGAACTGTGCACACAATAAGTGTCTATAAAACAGTATTCCTGTTAACTTTTATTCACTGTGTCCTAACCACTGGGGAGAATATCTTGCCCCCTGTACATACTGTATCATAATCAGGACCTTTCAATTGTCCTTCTATGCCATATCTTTGTTTCTCTGAATTTCAAAACTGTGCCACTTCCCACAGTTGTCTCAACCTGGCTTTCCTTCTAAAATCTACAATCCGAGTTCCTATAGTCTAATCACGGTTTTCCTGACTTATCTGCTCTTTCTTTCTCCAATTTTCAACCTCAGCACTACACATCACTCACTACCACCTTCACTCAAGATTCTTAATTCTCAACTTTTCTTGAAAAAAAGTCTTGAAATCTTCATCTAGTATTATTGCCAGTTCTTCTGAGAACAGTCTATACTAGAACAACCACACCAAGAACATGTCACATCCATTCCTTTTGTCTCCCCACAGTCAACAAGCCCAAGATTGCCGGAAGGTGTGAAATTTGAGAACTTTTCATATTCAGTTCCCTCAAAAGGGACATAGACGATAGGCAGGAAGCAAGGGAGGGCAAGAGTACCTGGAGAAATGAAGCTCCTTGCTCTCTATAACATAAAGTAGGAGATTTGTGCACATAATTTTTAATGTTAGTTTGTGCGGGTGAAGTTACTTATCAACTTGTAAATATTTCTGTAAACACGTTGATTTCTTTTAGAAACAGATTTTGAAGCCTGGCTGTAGAGTGAATGGATTTTAGAGCACCAGTGAGCTTTTGTTTACTTTAGATTGGGTTGTAACCCAGTCTAGCAAATAATGGAGCCTCAAAAGGTTTGTTAGAGATTTCTAGAGTATCTATTTTTCCTACTTTAGGGGAGATGCACTTAGTTGAGACACAATGATTATTAGATTCACTTTCAACTTTTGAGTAGCTTGTTCATCCTGTGAAGTCTTTGGAACAGGGTAACTGTATAGAGCAGTGCTCCTGACAGAAGGATATGATGAGTTAGGTCCTTATAGTGACGAGCTAGCGTTGATTCCAGACCAAATAAAAACTCGGAAGTGGCTGTTTAGGCCCACTGCAGTGAAACCCAAGTATACGTAAGCTTCAAGAAGAAGCTATTACAGTTCCAGTTTAATACCTGTAGTCCCAAGTGCCTGTTGAGATGTTAGATACTGGTGAGTGTATTCAAAACTGTACAAGGAGTGCTCAAGCATACAAAAGCTGTTAGTTTCTTTTCAATTTATAAAGGTTTGTTTTGAGATTAACAGCATTATATTTCTACTGTGTTCAAAATCTTTGAACTTTTATTATAAGTAGATAGTTTGGGTTATTCTGTTTTATCTTTGTTCCTGTTGCAATAAGCTTTGTGTGCTTGGGTTTCAGAGAGAGACCACTTCATTAAAACAAAAAACATAACTAAGAATCATATCGGACTCAGGATGTTAATTCTATTTCTCTCACCGCAGATGCAGCCAGACCTGCTGAGTTTCTTCAGCAAGTCAGGAATATGACTACCACTTGTCTGTGGGAGTGCAGCTCCAACAACTCTCAAGTGCTCGACACAATTCAGGACAAAGCAGTACACTCAATTAGCAACATATCCTAAATACTCACTCGCTCCACCACCAATACGTGGTAGAAAACAGTGTGTACCACCTCTAAGATGCACTGCAGAAAATCACCAAGGCTCCTCAAACTGTACCTTTCCAGCCCATAACTACCTGGAAGGACAAGGGCAGCAAATATATGGTAACACCACTACCTACCAGCTTGCTTCCAAGACATTCACTATCCTAACTTGGAAATACATCACTGTTCCTTTAATGATAGCAAGAACTGCAGATACTGGAGTCAGAGATAACATGTTGTGGAGCTGGAGGAACACAGCAGACCAGGCAGCATCAGAGGAGCAGGAAAGTTGACGTTTCCGGTCGGGACCCTTCTTCTTGCTGGGTCAAAATCCTGGAACTCCCTCCGTGGCAACAGTAAGGACCTACCTGCAGCAAATGCAGCTCAAGAGGCCAGCTCACTATCACCATCTCAAAGGCAACTAGAGATGGGCAATAAATTCTGGTGCGGCTGATGTCAATCCGCCACACTTGCATGGGAAGGCAATTATTTCCTCCTCCTCAACCCAGCCCTTGGCAAGTCTCTTCCAGCAGACCTGGTGTGTCTTTCACATTATAAATCCAGGGAGAACTCAATCTGCCTCCCAGCTGGGAGCTGAGGGATATGAAGGTACGGCGCTACAATGGGGTGGTGTGCCCTGGGGAATTAGATCAAGAGACGGGCAAGGTTGAGGGTGGCCTTTTTTGCTCAGAGGCCCACTGAAGCCTTTAAGTGGCCAATTAAGGGCTACTTAAGCACTTCCATTTACCACTGTTGGTGGTCCACCAGTTGCGGGTGATGGGGGTGGTAGATAGTGTGGTGCACTCCACCATGATGGGAGCTGGGAGGGACCGCTTGTGTCAACCGGTGGCCGTTCTGCACACCCCCTTCTGCACGTGGTCCTTGGAAAAGCCTGCCTTCCCCCCAGGCAGGCCAGAAACAAACATGTGTAAACAGCAGCCCCACTCCTGCACCACAACTCCCACACAGACCCAGCTCCTCTGATGCAAGATTGGGCTTCTTAGGCCATCACCTAAAGGAGTTTGGAAGAACGAGAGGTAATCTTACTGAAACGTACAAGACTATAAGGCGACTTGACTGGAGCATGCTTCTACTTATTGAGGAGACTAGAACTAGACATGGCTTAAGAGGAGATTTCTCTTTTCAGGTAGTGCTTAAGGAGAAATTGTCTTCTTTCAGAAGTTTGTTAGTCTGTGAAATTCTCTGCCCTAGAGAGTAGTGTAAACTAGGTCATTAAGTTTATTCAAGGCTGAGTTCAATCAATTTTTGATAGGCAAGGGAGTCAAGGGTTATGAGGGATTAGATGAGAAAGTAACGTTCAGACCACAATCAGATCTCATTGAACAGAACTGAGAGGTCAAATGGTCAAAACAGGCTCCTAGGTGCAGTGTTCCTCGGACCCACACCAAGTCCCTACCCAACTCGCACCCCAGCTGGAGTTGCCCCACTTTCCCAACCCCACCCTCCCTGCTGCTGCTTCAGGGTGGGCGTGATCCCAGCTGTAGCTCCAAATGACCAACAGCTCTTGGAGACGTAACCTCACCTCTCAAAGGGGCAGGGCGACCCAATGCTACATTGTTCAATTGCTGATGGACCCAACTTTGTTGGCTCCCCAAAATGGCAAAAATATCCGATCGTCTCCGAATCTGCACCCTCCGCCATCAAATATCCAAAAGACTGCTGTCATACTCATGGCTTGAATCTCTCCAGTGCTCTCTATTTGCATTTCAGATCTCCAGCATTTGCAATACAATGCTTTTTTTTTTTTAGAAACTATAGTTTAATCTTATAGGCCATAAGACATAGGTACAGAAGTAGTCCATTGAGTCTGCTCTACCATTCAATGAGATCATCGCTGATCTGATAATCATAGAATCACTACAGAATGGAAGCAGGTCATTCAGCCCATTGAGTCCACACTGACCCTCCGTACAGCATCCCACCAAGACCCACCCTCTTACCCTCTCCCTGTAACCCTGCATTTCCCATGGCTAACTGACCTAGCCTGCACATCCCTGGACACTGTCAGGCAATTTGGCACAGCCAACCCACCTAACCTGCATATCTTTGGACTGTGGGAGGAAACCAGAGCACCCGGAGGAAACCCACGCAGACATGGGGAGAATGTACAAACTCCACACAGTTGCCTGAGAAGCAATTTTAAACAATTGCTTACTTTTTTAATCATGATAGTAAGGAGGAGTAGATTGCCCAATTTTATTTACTGTACTTGACAAATTAGACATTTGTTAGTGACCAACCTGGTCCCTGGCACTGTGAAACAGCATTGCTAACCACTGAGCCAAAATGCCGCCCTATCCTCCACTTCACTTTCTTGCCTTAACCCTATAACCCTCGATTCTCTCATTGATTAAAAAGCTGTCTGGCTCAGCCTTGAATACACTTCGGAGGTACAGCCTCAACAGTTCTCTGCGGTAAAGAGTTCCACAGATTCAATACTCTCCAGGTGAAAAAATTCCATGTTGGCATCAGGGATACAGCAGAACACTATTCAATCCCTCCCACTCCATCAGCTAGGCTACACATTACATTAAAACTACCAACTGAGATTTATTCCAAGTTGAGTTATACAGACATTACAGAATCTTCCCACACAATGCTCAACTTATTTTAACATTCTGAAACCATCTACATCCAAACTCCAGTTTTCATCCAGGCTTTATAGTAAAGGCAAGCAAACAGACAAATAGGAATCAAACATCCAAAAGACTACTCTCATACTCGTGGCTTCCAGTGAAGTACAAACTGATTTCTTTGACGAAAACTCTGAAGTGAGCATGATGCAAAGATAGGTGGAGGGACAGGTAGTGTTGAGGAAGAGGGGAGGTTCCAGAATGACTTGGGACAGACAAAGGGGAGGGGGCAAAACATTGGCTAATGGAATACAGCATGTTAAAGTGTGAGGCTGTGCACTTTGGTAGGAGGAATGGAGGCATAGACTATTTCCTAACCAGGGAAAGGCTGTGGAAATCGGAAACATGAAGGGACTTAAGAAGTCTTCTTAAGGATAACAT